AATCCACGTGGATGGTGTGTGAGGAAAAGGGGGAGTGTAAAATGAGGAAGTGTTGAGGCGAGGAGGAGGAGGAGTGAGGCGAAACGAGACACACACATTTTGTAGTTGTCTTCTGATCTACTGACTAATCATCCAACCGATCCACCCAGTTCACTATCAATGTCATCTTTGTTGTTCTCGTGCGTAACGGTAGTACTCATTGTTAATACCCATCTCGCCCCTTCTCGAGCAAACATGGCCATGGAGAGATGGGTTTGAGGCCGCGTGGATTGAGACGTGGAAGCGAAGTAGAGCAATCTCGCTTACCTGCCATTTCAATCATTTGCGTCATTCATGTAGGCGTACAAATGTTGTGATTATTGTCTGGCCGACCGACTGACCGATTGACCTACCGACCAATCGGCCGTCTGTCCGATTGACCTTCAAACACACCACCAACCCACCACTCCCTCATTCCAAGTCAATCACCATCTCTCCACTTCTTGAACTACCTCTCCACTTACTCCACTGCCACTGTTGACTCCAAAATCACCAACTCGACTGTCCGCCTCAATGCCGAACTCTTGGAAAAACTCGATATGGAGAACTACTTAGTCCCTTCAAATCAATTAACTGACAGCAGTGTGTCATGTCACTTTACACTACCAAATGACCGCGTATGCACGTACAAACTCCTCACTAGCACATCCTCAACCTCAACTCTCCTCCACCAAATGCATCCTTCCCACTCTCCTATCTTGTTAAGCTGGTCGTTATGCTGCCTCGTCGCGTATGACGCATCCGTAATGTAGAGGATGATGAGAGCAGATTGCAGGCTCACAGACATTCTAAGCTTCCTTATTTTGTTAAACAAATTAAAATAAGCAGTAGCGCTTTAATTATTTTATCGGTTAAAATGTCATTTAAGGTCACATTTACGTGGATTGTGTAGTTGCATCCTTAGTATGAGCTTACTTTGGTAAACGTCAAAGCCTTCGATCACATTGCATTTGTATAAAAATATGAACCATTTGTAATGCTTTGTTTATGTGACCACATAAGGTTTGGCCGTCACTTGAGGATTTGTCTGACCCTTATACACGTGGGCGGGCCTTCGGTCCATGCTCAGGCCCATTTGCTCTGTTTTCCTCGGAATACATGTATCCAGCCACACTTATGCCTTCTTCCACCGTATGGAAAGCCTTGGAAAGTTGCACTGGTGGCAACGGAAAGTGAACCCGACATTTTTTAACGACTTTTAGGTATAGAGTGCTTTTGAAGACCTTCTGCTCCAGCCGAGGTGGGGCGTCTTTCTGCAGCTTGTTCTTCGTTGGTCGTTTGTTAAAAGCGACATGGTGTCCGGGAAAATCAATTGCCCAACAGACACCGCTTTCTCATTGACATCCTGCGTTTGTGTTGTTAAAAGTTGCCAATTATACGACTGATTTCCGGAAAAGAACAGTACGAACAAGCCGACGAGCAACAATTGGATCGGATGATGCAGTGGTTCAATGCATGCAGATACCCCAAAATCGGGTTCCCTTTGAGGGAAAGTCGAAACCTCTCTTTTCAATACAAGAAGTTTATAATCCAACCAACAAAGGAATTCTACATCATGGTGGAGAAATTCAAGGTTAATAAGGGTATTTTGGTGTTTTGGACCGGTAATCATGAGCTATACATGCGTAGAAGGACGTAAGTTAAAGGAGACGCATTTACATTGGTGACGAAGAATCCCTAAATCGTTCGCAACGAAAGGATTTGGACTCATGTCTGCACTTGGTTTCACCTTATTCCCGTGTTCCACAGACAAACTATGGACAACTGAAGCGACATCGCCATGAACTATCTGGAAATGAATCGTGTTGGAATTTCCCATACGAAATCCGTGTTTAGGTGTCGGAAATGACACTACGGTTATCCTCGCATACGGGACAGTGGTTTATCCCGTTTTCTCCGTAACATGTCTGTTGTAGAGCAGGGTTCCACCGTCTATTCCGGGGAGCATTTGATGGTCAAGAAGTGTATGCGACCCCGAATTTGGTTGTCAGACCGAACGCAACTCCAGATCCAGTTGAAGCTGCCGAGGAGACCAGGTATGGTTCCTCAGGGTGCTCGTGGGTGCTTTCTTGTAGTACCGAATATGTTGTGATGCCTGGCGTGGGAGGTGCACCAAAGAAGAGCACCGAGGATGCCACTCAATAAAAGATAGGGGCAGTGTAATGCCTTGTTTATGTGAATACATGACGTTTGGCCGTCACCTGAGGATTTGTCTGACCCTTGTACACATTGGCTGGCCTTCGGGCCACGCTTAGACCCCATTTGCCCCGTCGTCTTCGAAATGCATTTATTCAACCTCACTTATGCCTTCCTCCACACTATGAGAAGCCTTGGGACGCTATATCATCCCTTAAGACTTCTCTTGACTTTTGTAACCCTTGCTATCATAGACTTTTGTAGCGTACCACATTTGAAATTGCAGCTAATGCCGTTTGCATTTGTAAAATAATGTGTCTACAGGACTACCTTCGTAAGTGACAAACTCTATTGTCGGCCTGCCTACCTTCAGGCACCTAAACCCCGGACCTCAGTCGAGGGTCGACTAAGGAAGGATTGATGAGGCCGAAATCAATGTGCTACCACGAAAGTTTCTTCGCACTTCACACGCAGAGAATTCGTATTCGAATTTCCTACCCACCCCCACCCACCAGTTATTTACTTCTGTCATTTGAGCTGACCTTCGGACATTTAAACAGATTTCATTTCCTTTCAGCTTTAATATTTAAGTTGACCATATCTCACGCCAATTAATCCCTTTGAAAGTTAATTGCTACAACGTTCTGTTTGTATTCATTTAAAGGGTGGGTCATGAACGCATAGCATCAAGTTCCATTCGCCATTTGTAGATAATTTTGTAATTAACGCGCCCATATGACAAAACAAACTGTTTATTAATATGTACAAGTTTTTTTTCAAATCATAGTTGTGATTTTTGAACATCTTAACGTTAATAGGCCTTTAAATCAGCAGGAATCAGACAGACTGACCCTCTTAACCCAAGTGCTCATTAGGAGCACGTGTTTTGGACATTTTGCCATCAAGCGATGGTTGGTGTGCTTTACTCAGTTGTGAACATATTGTGTAGCCTTGTGTTGTGTAACTAAACAAGCGTAAACGTACGTGATCAAATGTGTTCCGTCTTCATGTTGATCTGCTTCGTTTTGTGTCAATTTGCATCAAATTTCCATAACTTTTCAAGTCCTGTGGTGCGGTGCTAACATCGTCTGTGGTTGGTTGTTCTTCGCCACCATTTCAATGGATATATTTAAACAGTTTCTTAATAGCCATTGCACCATTGTGTTTTTGAATGTTTAGACTGAAATACAATGGATCCTTCCTTGCTCTCCTCGCTACTTGATGAGTCACAAATACGCAGTTACGTCAGAGATCACGCGATTCATATGCAGCTTAAGTCTGGTACGAAATTGAGAAATCTTATCACGTACATTTCAAAGAGACTTGAGGACGGTGATTGCGATCAAATACTGTGTTGGGGTCTACCAGGGGCTGTTGAAAAGGTCGTCGCCTTTGCTGAGAAAGTCAAGAGTCTTTGGCTCGCCAAAATCGCGCCCTTGCCCGATTCCCCGAGCCTCTACCAATGCACTCGGCTCTTTTTTCACCTCACTCAAATGAAAATCGAGAATTACTTGGTCAAGGCGGTAAGCTACTTTATTATAAATTTGCTTTCAAGGCCTCATTTTAATCGCCAATTTGTGTACTGGGAGTTGGGCACACTTTGACCATTCTTGTTTCTCTTTGCTTCTTCCGCTATATCGAGTCTACTTGTGATTCGAGTTTCTCTGTTAACTCCATATTTTCTAATTAAGTCAGTCTTAACGTCGGTACGTACATTAGCAATGAGTTTTTTGTCTTCATTGTGAGAATGCCTTACGAAATTAGATTTCCAAAAAGGATCATAATAAACTTCAGGGGATGCCTTCGGTTTTCATCTCGATATGCGTCTCAGCGTCAAATTCATTCTCACGTTGGTGTGTTTACAATTAAATAAAGTGGCGGTTTTAATTAGCATTGGGAGTTTTTCCTCGTTTTAACTAGAATAACCGGGATCATTCTTAGGCAGACATTTGTCTCTTGGAACCTATTTCTTGGTGTTGTGTAAAACAGAATTGCGGCTCAGACAATGTGACCGCTGCACGTGTCGTAGGCGTGGTCCTGAACATCTGGAGACTTGGGAGATCCTACATTTCACTGACTTCCACTCAAAGTAAGAAACATAAATGTAATTACACCGCAACGAGAATGTTAACCAGCTTGTTCTGATCTGTTCTGTTCTACAGAACAAACCCGCCATGGTAATACTACTCTCCCGCCAAAAGCTGGTGGAATCAACTACTCCAGAGGCGGTTTCCGTCATACCTACCGCTGAGCAGGAGATTCCCGCTACAGAAGCGCCCTTCCCTAGTCGTCGAAAAAAGCGTCATCAACAGAAGAAGCGAAGACGCGATGGGAAAGATCGAAGTAATATGGGTGGGTTGAAGAAGAAAGCGAAGCGGATGCAAGAGAAGCGGAAAGGTGTAGACCAAGGTAGCTCCGAAGAGCAAGTCTTTGATCCATGCCACCGCCTTGTTCCGGCCAACAAATTGGCTAGATTGGCAGTGGCCGAAATTGAGAAGATTGGTTGGCCTCCCTGTACGTGAAAAATTGATGTACATGTGTTTCTATTTTTGAATCAAAATTCGATTCAGTTTGCGAAATAGCACTCTTGACATGTCGGGTATGAAGTGCTGTCAAAAAACGGATTAATTAGGCAGTAGCTTTAGGGACTAACAGCGTTTGGCTGCAACTGTGCTTCTATTGGGGATAGTTATGTATCAAAACATGGTTCCTAACATTCTCGTAGTTTCTAGTTAAAACTTGAATAACTGGACCTTCTATTGACACTTCTATTTACATGTAGGTGCAACTGCTAGAACTTGATAATCATTCTGAAGCCCTGGCAATCTATCGAGGGGACAAGGGTTTTTGTGCATATCTAGTTTTAGTTCAAAAAGACTTCAGACATTAGCCAGTTCTGGAGTAGTGGGATGCTAGCAATGCTTAAGCTACATCATTGACAGCGCCAGTGGACCTCCCCCTTTTGCAAGGAGGACAGACTTTGTATATTGACTTCTGACTACGGAATCTAGGCGCGTTTTCTAAAAGAAGAAGCTACTTTCCCCACGGTTTGTTTACCAACGAAATGGACGCCGGTTTTTTTCTCGCTCCGACATTGACTGCTGTTATCAGTGTTACTGCGACACCACCTCCTCATGACTGATCCATCAGAAGTCGGTTTACTTCTGAGAGTCTTATGTGGGAAGAAGGGTCTATTCTAGCAGAGATGTCTAGTCGTTCGTTTGTGATAACGGCGTTCGAATTAGAATCCAACCTCTGACCTAAAGCGCACATTTAGTCGACGCACGCGCATTGCATTCTCCTACGATCTTGGTAATACCCATCGGTTGATCTGTTTTTATTGGCAGCATTAGGGTCGAGGTCACCGTTGTGCTCTCGGCCAAGATCCTAGGTCCTCAAATCTCTAGATCCATTCACTGGAGTTCTGTTATGCTACTGACTTTTATTCCGTTATTTGGTATTAGGCCAGCCCTCTTAAAATCTGGCATACATGTTTGAGGATTTGCTGCCAACCGAAAACCTGGACGGCGTTCAAATGATTAGTATTGGAACTTACTATCTCCTCCCAAAACGCCTCTATATGCGTATTGGGCAAGAAGGGAAGGGAAGGGAGTTCTGCAAAGCTAATACGCCAAAATAAGCTTATCAACTCAGGCTTCTAGTACCGTGGATCATTCATATGATGGCCTCACTGGTGTGGAGCTGCGCGCCATTCGTCAATTCCAATTATGGCTTCAGATAGAGCTACTCACTCCTACCCATGAGGGCTCCCAACGCTTCACATGATTCCACAATCGTTCTCGACAAACAGAAAATGGCAAAGATAAGTATTTTGCGCTAACTGCACCCTATGTAGGAGGCTGGTGTGCTCTCAAGCCCACCAGGTATACGGGTCCTAATTCGCTTTAAATTGTCCAAGAGGAATCTGCTTTCTTGGAGAAGACCATGCGTTAACTTCAGATAGCAGCTTCGAGCAACTGGGAGGGGTACCTGCAACCTGAAAATGACTCTGAGTTGCCTATGTAATACTTTGTTTATGTGGCCACATGACGTTAGGCGGTTACTTTGGAGTCTGTCTGGCCCCTGTACACAGGGGCTGGCCTTCAGGCCACGCTGAGGTCCCGTTAGCCCTGTCGTTCTCAGAATACATGTATTCAACATCACTTATGCCTTCTTCCATCCTATGGAAAGTCTCGGGACGCTACAGCCTAAGCAGAACTTGTAGCACTTAAATGTTTTATTTGGTAAATTGACATCATTGCCACAAAGAATAGAATAATGTGGGTGGAGAAGTACGGATGGTCTGGCCACATATTGGACCCTATGTGTAGACGGGGTTTATGGGACCAAAGCATTTTTATACGCTTTCTTTTTTATGCTTTTAAACCTCAGAAATAAATGTGTGATTGTAGATCATGCATACTTTTTAAGGCCACTTAGGTAACGGCAATTTCCACGATTTCGACTTCAATTGCATGCTTTGCATCCCATTAGACTAACTATTTTAGCATGGTACTCAAGCGCCAGGATCGAAAGGCGGGAGAAACGACCCATAATCATGGTCAAAAGCGAGAAATAAAAGATATGATAAAAATGATTTAATTTCGATTATAAGCTGTAAAAACGTTTTGCTTTTGTAGCTGAAGATTATTCCAGGAAAGAAAAAAATTTAAAAATATTGTGATCTGCCCCAAGTTTAGAATTTTGGTAAATGGAAATAGTTTAAAACCGCCGTTGTGGGAGAAGCACCCTAAAACATTGGTTCGCAACCAATCAACGCGGTGGAGTGTTGCTGGTGCTATGATAAGGTTTATTCTTATACAAAATCGAGCAGGAAAAACCCGTCTTGCGAAATGGTACATGAATCTGGCTGACACAGAGAAACAAAAGTTAATCGAAGAGGTCCATGCCTTGGTCACAGTGCGTGACGTCAAGCATACCAACTTCGTCGAGTTTAGAAATTTCAAGATTGTTTACAGACGTTACGCGGGTCTCTACTTTTGTATTTGTATCGACATAATGGACAATAGTCTTGCACACTTGGAGGCGATCCACAACTTTGTTGAAGTACTCAATGAACTGTTTCACAACGTATGCGAACTGGATCTTGTTTTTAACTTCTACAAGGTGTACACTGTCGTTGACGAAATGTTCCTAGCAGGTGAAATAAGAGAGACTAGTCAAACGAAAGTGCTAAAGCAAATGATGCTGCTTTCCGCTTTGGAATAACGACCGCTTCCAAAACTGCCGCATTTGGTATTCATGCTTTCCATGATCACTCCTGATTGTATCATTTTTACCGTTTAATTATGTTGTATCTTCCTTTTTTCACTCAAAATAACCTTGTGATGTAGTGTCTATATTTGATTGTTGACATTAGTAAAGTGCAATCTTCCTTCCTCAGCAACTTACCTCGTGCTTCTGATTTGGTTATTTATGTTGGATCATATTTTGCCTAGTTCACACAGTCACTGTAGGCCGGAGAGTGCAATCTCAACCCTAATTTGCTATGCTCTTTCCGAATTGCCGCGTCCATTGTCTCTTGGTGATTCATATTTATTGAAAAAGGCCATCTAAAGCATTCTCTCATGGAACATTTCTTTTATCTCGTCCCTACGGATTAGAGCTCGAAACGAGCTCAAACTACACTCGAAGGCATCAGAATCCCAAGTAAGAATAAAGAGGGATTTTACCGAAACTTCACCATTTCAACTCTGTAAGGGACTACTAATCAGTCTGTAGGCCAAATTCTCTTCGAGGGCAGGGCGCCCTGATTGATAGTTAGAACGCTCCATACCCAACTGAAGCGGAGAAGTTATTGGTGGTCAGAAATTTTAAGCCGATCACAATACTGCTGTTTCACTACTAATGGAAGTCGCCAAGGAATCAGTGTAAGGAAGAGACGCATTCTGGCATCGCAGATGACAGACGCCATACTGCAGCTGCGTACCCTTGGAGGCGAGCAAAAAATGCAACGCAAGTTATGTCGCCGCAGTCACAAACTTCATCGCCGAGTTCATCATTTAACCTCCATGTCTATAGTCATTCGAACTGACATTGGTGAGCAGTCTACGAGATTTTTACTTCAGCTTTCCTGACCATGGAATTCGTAGATTAAAACTACAGAATGAGTGTGAAGTCAGTAAATGGTCTGCAATTGGCTGCCTCGATTAATCGCAAAATAAGAAATGTAGCATTTTGCAAATTTACCCGCGTTGACTAACGATAAGAAAACGCACAATTTCCCTTTAACAGCAGATAAATTGCGAGGGATATCGATAGACGATGAAGGTACGCATCAAAATCCTAGCCTCCAAGAGAGACACCGACGAACAGCACTCCTGTGCACTGAATTGTTTTCTGTCGTTTTAGTCAACTTCCGATCAACTCACACTCAACTAGTCACTAGAATGCTCATAGAAGGTTGTTTTAATCCACCTGGTTACTGTGAAATAAATGATTAGCTGCTCAGGAGGAAAGCACCCCCCTCTTGCATAGCTACAACGACATTATAGTCCTTAAAATGGTGGCCAAACCGCATAGTCACTACAATTTGTTAGCAGAATGCGGCAAAAGCCTCAAGTCGTTAATGCAATACCAGCAAGAGTCAAATTAAATCATACCAGAAATGCAAACCAAGAACATTCCACTAAGGCCAATGTAACACCCCGACAAAACAAGCGAAAATTCAAAGAAATTCAAATGGAATCGAACTGTCCTATATTCGGTAAATCGATCACAACAGTGTTTCATGGACCCGACATGGTATGATGACATGTCAGACATCCTCCTCAAAGTCGACATTACGGAGATAGAAGCTAACTCGTACATTCCAACTACCTCGCGACGAGCACAAGCGAGCACGCGACAAGTAGCCTCACTTACTACATAACGCTGCTCTTAGTCGGTAAGTTATAACAAATCATGAACCAAAGGCAAAAACTATTCCACCAGACCAGACAATCAAGATAAGCAGTAAATTTTTATTGTGTATTATTAATTTTTGACCATTTTGTCCCTCGCTTTGCTATTTGATGCATGCGATTCCGTTAGTTTGTTCAATCTGAGTACCCTACGCTAGTTTCTAGAACATTTGGCGTTGACTATTGGATAATTTTTGTCTTCCAAACAGCTATACCAAGTTTATTAGAGACTGTTCTGGGTGGGCATCGACTGTGCACCTCAGGTCCCAATCGCCGTCGGTTCTCCACAAAAGCACCCTTTGCCCTTTAATAAACTTTCAACGTTTTGTGTTAATATGAGAGTTCAGCTACAAGAACAAAGCCGCCCACCAGCCAATGTGATTCTACTACACAAGTGCTAAATAATACTGATAATAATGACGGTGTTTTGCAGGCCAGAAAATTTAATATATTTAAGTGCTACACTGAGTCACTGAGCTTCAATCCACTTTAATTCCATGAGCGCAGCATGAAAGGAAAAGCAGTAGACATCGACGCCGTAGTTGTCGGGGCCACTGAAATCGAGATATAGAGAAAGAATTAACCATGATTCGAGAACACTTGCCCGAGTGACGCAAAAAAACGAACTGAGATGGCATTTGCACAACTCACCGAAAGGCGAGGGGACGAATCCCTCATCTCTTCACTATCGCTAGAATCCACTAAAGCTGAAACCAATAAATGAGTTAAAAGTATGTATCCCAAAAGGATGCCCACAAGTCGACAGCATTACTAGTTTATAAAAAAGCATACAAACCTAGACTACCACCAATTTTGTGATCAGACATGTAGCACTAAAAGCAGTTACGGTGAAAGCAATCAGAGCGTGGTACAATTGCTATCCCAATCAGACTGTTCTAATCTTCATATGAGTATAATTGGCCCTTAACACAAATTGGAATTTGTAATTTATCTACGCACATTCGCCTTTTAACGGCAATTTTATGCAGCCATAGATAATAAGGTCTAGCTAATAAACACACACATACACACCCGGTGCGTTCGCAGCTGAACCACGGGTGGTAAACACACATAATATACTCACATTTAAGCTTGATCATGCTCGTGCCGGATTGTTGTAGCGAGTTCCCACCTCCTCTGATGCAAGTTGCAATTTTTTTTGCAATGCGAGGACACAACTCACCTTTTGGACGCCCCACCTGATCACCAATGCGCCTGTTGAACGCTTTTCAAGGGATTGGAAATCACCTTATTTCCTCTTTTCCAACTAGAATTCGTTTAATTACTTAAGCTAGTAGAAACAAACTCGAGATTAGGAGTTAATAAGCAAGAGAGGAGCACTTAACATGACCTTGCTTGATAATAATAATAATCACCACATTATATATCTTCGGAATCAAGAGACCCACCTTTAACAACCGTCGTTTAAATCCGGTCGAGCCATCCTGAGGAGGTGGAAATTAGAGATGAGGAAGTAGGCGTTCATCCATTCCAAGGTGGAAATCGTTTTGACTAACAAATCTCAGCCAACCAACCTCAAACACCTCTCGCCAAAGGTGCTGCTGATTGGAATCGAATGCAACAAAATTCCCTAGAACAAAGTCAAACCACCTCATCCTTAATACTGAATTGTTTGAAATTAGAAATCGAAATAGCAGGAAATAGAGCGAAACACTAGTAGATCAACACGCATACAAGGGGTAACACCTCAAGCGCATCTTGCTGAAGAACGCACAACCTCCCCAAAATCAACCGATTAAAGAAGACGAATACCCATGCAGGATTGTCAAAGCCGCAAGACGCTTCATATGCACCACCAAATCTCCCGTTCGAGTAAACCAACTGATTTATCAAGTCCGCCACCTCACAAAGGCATTTGGAGGAAGGTTATGTTTACCAAACTGAATTCTTGGATACTTTGAAGGAGGACAAGCCAGTCAAAAAAAAACAAAAGATCAAAATCTGTGCACAATTCAAATTTACAATTACAAATGAGTTCCGAGTGTGTAAAGTTGAATAATGCGGCAGCCTCAAGCACTGTTGCAACATCAGCGATAGTAGCCCCGTCTCGAGTACCAACTGCCGCCACGATATGACGACGGTCTGCCACGTCGATTCCAGTCAAATCCGTCGTCAGGGTGGGGGTACGTGGCATAAGGGTTTGCAAAACGGCCCACCAATGATGGCGGGGGATAGGCAGGTGGGTAGGTTGGGACCCTTTGATATTGCTGTTGTTGTCGCTCATAGGGATGGAAGCGTTGCAGAGGGTTATTCCGCTGCCTAGGTGCGTGGAATTCCTCACAGTCCGGCAGTGACCGACGAATCATGCGTTCAGCTGGTGTCTGATCAGCCCGCCATGAGGTGCCCTCACCCCATCCATTGTTATTTCTAGTAGAGGAGCCGTCAAAACACTGATTGCCTCCGTTGGCACTCCAGCCTCCACGACCGCGTCCACGACCGCGATTCGTCGGCGGCAAGAGCTGGCACCTTGGTGGCATTTTGACCTAGTAAAAGAAAAACATTTATACACAGGGTGTGGACACAGTTCTGGAAAAAAAATAACTTTAAAAAAATTCATTGACAATTCATGCATCTAAAGCGAAGCTCCTATTCATACGCATACAAGGGAATGGATTGAAACTCATGTTGTATTTCATGCGGCTTGACAAAAAAGGACATCAAAAGACTTAAAATGCGCAAATGTGAAAAGGCCATAAACTGACTGAATCCAACAGACGAGCAGGGAAGACATGTCCGAAGGGGTACGGTGGATTCTCATAGTATGCCGAGATAGCATGCTGCTGAACGGCCGGGATGTCAGGAAGGAGGTCGGGGACTCCAGAGCGTAGTAGGCGACCAGGAAGACAAACGTGTTCCCAGTCCGGCCACACGTGACCCGCAATACCCTGCGTCAGCGCGGCATTAATCAGCGTTGCTTCAGGCGGTGCAGTACCGCCGTACTCACTATCATCCTCTGTTTGTGACTTTTTTGTCTTCGACTCACTCGATTGGGTTGATGTGGGGTCGTAGAGAGCGGTGATTGTCTGACCGATGGGTGTGTCAGCGTGCACAAAGTAGAGTGCAGGACGACGCAAATTGCGATAACGCTCCTCGTCAGTAAGGCGACTGCGACGCTCGTCCAGCGCCTTCAGCAAACGCACCTCATCCACAAATGGCAACAGTGCCACACCCATCCACAGATACCGCTTGCCGTTGAGGTCCACCTTCAAAGGGAAAGATTCAACCAATGTAAACTACCTTTCCATTTTAATTTTAGGTTGCTCGAATGTGAAAAGCTATGCTTTATAACAACTTCGCTTCACAATCGTTGGACATAAGTCAATCTAGATTTAGGAAAGAGGTGTACGCACAGTGAGTAATTTTGTCACAAGAACTCAATACTTCGGGGCAAGTAGATAAACCTATCAATCAAAAGCACCGAAAGTGGGGATGGAGACCTCCACAATTTAAAGATAAAAATTGAGATGAAATGTCAAGATAACAACTTGCCTTGAAGTTAGTCGGATAGAAATCGATAATGGGAGAATCAGGATCAGTCATAAGATCCCTCCAAGCTGGAGGCACATGGCTGCGGGATGCTGCAGGGAAAACGCTCATCAGCTGCTCCAGAGGACGGAAAGGCTTGGTACACTTCTTGGCAAAACCTATCTCCACTGAAGCCACGTTTACAAAGTCGCTTGCAAAAGGTGCGTAGTGGTAGGGATAATACCAGTCCCATGACGCACATCCCTATGTGATAGACGAATGACACCCCTACGTTAACAGATAAGCATAATTACTAACCATACCACAATATCACTTGCTAATCCTGTTGAAACAGTAACATACCAATAAAAACGTCACCAATAGTCGTTTTGACGCCCAGGGGTGTAGTGGTTCTGAATTCTACCGACTTATGCATTCGTAACAGATCTGATATGGCATAGGCTGTCACAACTGCGTCGCATATCACCTTAGGTAATGTGTCTTTACTTAAAAGCTTGCCACAAGTGCTGCAACGCTTACCATTGCTAACAAAATGGTTATCAGATATTCTAACACTGCAAAATCAAATCCTTTTATAGCGGATCGGAAAAGCAGAAGTCCATCGCAGGCGATTGTAATAAAACGATCACTGCTGAGGTTGCGTTCAAAGCGTTATAAATTACACGTACCGTTCTACTGATGATAATTGAGTAAGGCGAGTCTACAGTATTATACAAAATAGTAGTCATCGAACCTTGCTACTGAAAGGCCAAGTAGACTGGTGCAGCCTTACTAGCCCAGACAAATGCCAAACCGATTAAATATTTATTTAACAGTATTCTTCCCTACTAATGCAGCCCCTTAAAGGCAAAGCAGTATCATAAACCGACCACAGTGGATCTCTAGGGGAATTACTTGTGCCGCGCCTAAGAAAAAGATTAGCGAAAGTCTCGGATTTCATCGGATCAATCTCGAAGCACTATTCGCTCACCATGGAAATAAACGAGAACACTTCACAAAGACCAGCCATATATTTACGGCCTACATCGCGCAAGGGCTAGTGCACGACGGTTTCACGCTCAAGAAATTTCTGAAATTTAACCTATTACCTAGCTAGTCAATTAAAGGTCAATTGGAGACAAGCTGTCTCCTCTTTCCCTAGAGTAAAATCCAGAACTACAGAATTCCCGACGAGGAAATAGCAGAACAATGAGTACTAGCGCCCTACCCTAGCAAAATGGTAGCAGGTAAGCGATTTATTAAAGTGATTATATACTAAGCTATTAAACACTGAAAGAGTGAAGCATACACAAATTAACTTAGCTGTAGACTTTCTTTGCAGCTCCCATTGGTTGTAACTAAAGTGAGCAAAATATTCTCCTCCGACATTGATTAGACACTCAAACTCCAAAAAGGCTATAATATGAAGGCAGCATCGAAACACCAAGTGCAGTATCCCACCTGATAGTAATATGCGAGAACCCAGCACAGTCCGATGACATATTCATGCGCAACCTTGATGCAGAACTCAGGCGCATCTGAGGGATCCACACCAAACTTGCTTTGGTAGTAGCGAGGACGCCAACCCTCCTCCCACAATCGCACCTCGTCACAACGATCTGCACGCTCGTCCTCATCCAAAACTTCTTCATCTTCACTCTTGGTTCCTACCACCTTTGTTTTGATTACCGAGGCGTCCACGCCACCAAGAAGACCCCTCCTTTGCCTCTTTAGCAATGATGGACCGCCACCGTCTTCATCTTCTCCTTCGTTTGTGGGTGGAGTTTTGAGTTTTCTGGAAGGAGTGGGAGAGGTGGAGGACTTAAGCATGGCACGAAGCGAAACTGCGGCCTCCTGGTTCTGCAGACACTGCTCCACCCACTTCACATTCGGTTGACGATGACGCCGGGCATCATGTACTTCATTCGCGTTTACGCTGCCGAAACGCGGTTTCTCGACAATTGGAGCAGGTGCAAGAATGCCTGAAGAGGGTGCATCCCAGGAGTGTCGACCACTGTCACCGAGCCTCTGACGCTTGCGTCGATCCCGGAGGGCAAGCTCTTCTTCTCGACGCGACTTGAAGATCGCGTCTTCAACTTTGCCCAGCTCTGTCATTATTAACTTTTGGTAGAGGAAGAGGAAATGCCGGAGTAATACCAATGATTTGAAGACTAGCAATTGCGATTAGCTGAATAGGCAACAAAATTGCTTACTTGAACGCGATCAAGATAAACGTGGCCAGAGTCAGTAAGCCATCCACCAACATCACTGACTGCCAACTTATACAGATCGATTAGACGATCAATGGCACCCTCACGGATCTCCAGACTGGGTAAATGGGGTAGAAAGTCGTTGCCCACAAAGAAGCACATGAATACCCAGTCATCAATAGCACGCTCCAAGTCCCACTGGAATGGAATATTGGGCATTTGTAGCTCCGATTCGAGATATTGGCGCAATATGGCCAGCTTGATGAATATAAACTCCTGCAAAGGAGAGCAAATGAGTGAATTAGCATTGAGGTAACTGTCGTTAGTACAGCGCATATCTATTGTTTTGAAGTGGCCAAGCATAAAAATACTACAGCCAATAGACCAGCGTCACACACTTAAGTGAAAGGCCCTTAAGAGGATAACCGAGTAGTTCCGGGAAACAAAATTACTTTCGTTTAGCTTTACGATACAAACCCAAAGATATTAGTGTAAAATAAAAACACAAAATACTCAAAAAATAACATTAATTAGGAGAAGATTCATAAAAATGAAAGAATTTCAAAAAATGGACTAAGAAAACCAACCCATCTTTTTTACAAATCACAAATCCATTTAGACCAAGTGCCAATCAATAAGTAGACAAACTAAAAGTATATCAAACGCCCTTTTATGAGGACCTCCCACTTCACTGATTCGGTAAAGTGCTTGCCTTCACTTAAGGATTTAAGCATGGTGTCAGAGCGATGAAGATACAAAGACATTTCGTAAAAGCTATAAGGGAACTCCTAATTAGGCATCCCGATAGAGTATTGCTCTCAATACGCACATTCACAAAGAGTGGGAATAGTAGACATACCACATCGGTCCCTGGAGGTGGCGGAGGTTGATCGAAATTTTCGCTGGGAGCACCGACACAATCCTCCATCTCATGCCCATACTGCCCACAGAGAGCACAGGGTTTTGGCTGGTTGGGCTTAAACTCCTCCCTAATGATTGTAAAGTGTGGCTCGTGTGTGGCTAAGCCCAACATTATCAAATCTGCATCTGCACCGCATAGACAGTGACGCGTATTTGGGTCGTGAGTAGGTGCCTGGCGCTGACGTCGAATGAAATCCATGATTTTATGTTCCCCTTCACCAGGTGCATTCGAATCACTCAAGATTACCTGAATTTCACGCCAGGCGGGATGTGAATTCAGGCGTTCGTAGACGTAATACTGCAGAGCCAAAGCCAGCCTCTCCATAAATGGTGTACCTGGAGTGATGCAATTCGAGTCGAAGTGTTCATCATTGCCTTTCGGGGGCGGCAATTTCGCACCTTTGGCCATTAGCTCCGAACGAAGACGTTCGACAGTCAATTCTCTATCGTGGGACTCTTTGGCCGCACGGAAACGACGTGAACGCTGCTGATTCATTTTAGCGCGTGGCGCCACTCCATCGATAGCCATATATAGTAGACGTCGAGGTCGAACAACAGCAAAGATGCGGTCAATATACTCAAAGATGGCCACAAACATCTCCGCTTCAGTCTTAGGGGGTGGTTTGTTTTCGGGGTGGGTGCAAGGATGAATGATGCCATTCATGTCGAGGTAAAGGTTATCAAACTCCTCTCCATTGGGATTAGGCCCAAGAATATCCACAGGTTCTCTGTGACCCTCCTCATCTATGACACGGCCGCGTTTTTCAACGCAATGAACAACGATTGAGGGATATTTCTGACTAAGCCATCGAAAAAAGGCTGGAACTCCCATTCCTCAGACAAAATCAGTTTAGGTGAAAAATTCGACCTTCCAGCTACTTGAAAACAAATGAGGCTCAGGTACCTTTAATAATGCAGCAACGCGACCAAAGGAGCTATTCGCACACCCCACCACGAACCTGTCGAATGGAGCCAATAAACACAGGGAATAGATGTTGATATTTTTTGTAGCTAAAACAAACAATAAACTGTGTTTATGCATGCTTAACTGTAGAAATAGTAGACGTTGTGCTTACAATATTTCTAATCAATTCAAAATAAAGGCTCTACTGTCTCTCAGATCCTGCCATATTCGTTTTCTATGCTTTGAAGGAACATTCACCATTACTACGTTATATTTAATGCAAACTTCCTGCTTAGTCTGTTGATTGTTCATCGCCTAATTTGCGTTTTTAGAATTACATGTGTCCAAGTACTTAAATTTATGGGGACAAATTTATAAACTTTGTGATTTTGTAGCCCGAATGGAAGTGCTTAGCGTAACCTGCCAACATTTTCATTTTAAGGTGACTGTTAATTTGATAACAGATGGCATACGAATGCGATAGTGAATGGCATAAGATTAAGTGATTGCCTGCGCAGAATGCAGCTTGATGAGTACCAAAGTGACCGTTATTGGTGCATATAGCCAAATAAACAAGGTACTGTACTTGTAGCATACTGGGACTTCCTGTAGGGTGGAAGAAGGCAGCAAGTGAGGCTGGATGCATGTATCCCAAAGAGAACAGAGCAAATGGACCTGAGCATGGCCCGAAGGCCAGCCCACGAGTACAAAGGTCAGAAAGGTCTTAAAGTGATCGCCGAACATCATGTGATCACATAAACAAAGCATTACACTACATATCTCTTCATTTGAGCCACGTCCTTGGCGCTCTCCCTGGTGCACCTCCCACGCCAGCTATCACAACATATTCGATAGTACAAGAAAGTACTCACGGGTCAACGCGCCAGTCAACAGTTATCACGAAACTGAGAAACCATACTTGGTCTCCATCAATTCCTTACAGGACTAGACGGTGGCACTCCGGTCTAAAACAGATATGTTGAAGGATAAACGAAATAAGCCACTGATCTGCATTTAAGGGGAACCGTAATGCCATTTCCAACGCCTATACACGGATTTTGTAGGAGAAATTTCGACACGAAACTTCTCCAGATGGTTCACGACGGTGTCGCTTCAGTTGTCAATAGCTTACCTGTGGAACACGGAAACAAGTTGAAGCCAAATGCAAACGTCAATCTTCACTCTTTATCGCGAGAGATTCAGAGGGTCTCCGCCACCAATGCAAATGCGCCTCCTCCTTACCGTAGGTACATTCGACAAACGGTACGTGCTAGGATACAAGTCGTTGAAAAATGTCTGGTTCGCTTTCCGCTGCCACAAGTGTAGCGTCTCGAGACTTCCCATAGGGTGGAAAAAAGAAGTAAGTGGAACTGGATACATGTATTCCAAAGAGAACAGAGCAAATAGGCCTGAGCATAGGCCGAAGACCAACCCACGACCACGATAGCCAGGCAAATCATAAATTTACCGCCGAATGTCAGGTAGTTGCATAAACAAAGCATTACAATAATCTCCTCCTCCTCCTCCTCCTTTTCCAGTAGCACTTTAGGCGCTCTACCTGGTGCACCTCCTGTTCCAGCCATCACAGCGAATTTAGTACCCAAAGACACCCTGCCATTTATAAGCTCCTCTGAGGTTGTAGAAAAGTTCGTGACCTATTACGACAGTTTTGGCTGGATCTATGATTGCGTTTGGCCAGAAAAACAGAAATCGGAGTGGTTATATCTGTTGGCCATCAATTTTATCCAGGGCTAGACACTGCAACACTGACCTAAAACGTTTTATAACAAGGAAACCGGAAGCAAACACAGTTTTGCATCTATGGCTTTTCGTCGTTAAGCCATCAACCTCATTTATGTGCACCTGCAATCTGAGGATATCCAAAGCAAATCTTGTTCAGATGGATCACATCGGCGTCGGTGCAGTTGCTCACAGCTTGTTAGTGGTGCTGAGAGGTGTGACGATTGCCAAACGCAGACGCCGTTCTTAGCCTTTCGGTGACAGAAAAGCTAGGGATTTTACCCACCCCAAGTAGAACTTCTTCGCACGCACTACAGAAGTTTGTGACAAATTCGAGTTAGCTTTGCTCTGCCACCAGTACAATGTCCCAAGACCTCCCATTAGGCAGAAGAACAAGTATCCCTAAATGTTTAAAAACTTTTGTTCAGAGAGAATGGAAGGGAAGTAAACTGTGGCTTGGCTTAAAGGTCAGCTCACGCAGGCAAGAGCGAGATGAATGACAAAGTGATCGTCAGTCATTCACGTAGTCTAACGAGCAATGTATTACAAGGTGAGCCAAAAAATTAAGACAAATCAGTGCCATGAGTATGCAGACAGAGAGAAGTGGAGGTGCGGTGGACAGTTTCTAAGTTTTTTTGAAAGGGAAATGCCTTAACACTTTATTGTTAGAAGTGGTGGCTCTTTAATGGTGCAGAATTGGTAGCCCTTAAGTGTGGAAAATAAAGTTAATATAAAATAGTAGCTACTGAGAATTTCTCCACAAACTAATGATTACATTTTTAAACATCACCAAGTGTGTGCTGAATTGGGACACCATAGTAGATGAGGTAAGGAAGAAGAGGAAGTGGTTGAGAAGAGGGGTTGGTGAAGCTGGAAGGAGGTTGGAAGCGCCTAAAGATAAGGGAAGGAAAGATAAGAAGCAGGAGTGGGTGGATTTAAATATAAGAAACGCTGGGGTAGTAAAACAAATGAGAAAGTTAAAAGAACAAAAAAGGCTTCCTTAAGCTCTATCAGGGCGAATGCTGTAATCACTTTATGAAGTCGCACAATATTGAATTTGACCCAGCACAATGTCCACAAGCCTGCATTGACGTCACAACCATGACGCATTTCCAAATTAATAATAAGGGTTCGTGTTGACGTCATATCAAATATTCTATTCCAAGGTCATGCGTCTTCAACAGGACTCTTTATTATCGATCTGAGTCATTGTGGAGGTTATTTTTCGTCAATAATCGGCTTTGGATATCAAACAGTCGACCTTTCTCTTCTCGCTGTCATACAGGAGGTGACATTTGCTGCCTTAATTTAAGCCTATTAACATCCACTGCGCTCACCCATGTGTGGGATCGATCCCTTATGCGGATAATCAATACAACAGTAAGTGGTTTTATCGATTCTTCGATCCATCGACCGACCGCCCAGAGCAGATGAATCAGCAATGAGGCGCGTGCTGTGACGATAACACATGCGACCCAAATCTAAGCCAATCACTCACCTACTCATTCACCGAAGCGAGTGTAGAAGCAGCGGTAGCTGCAGCAAAATCGGTTAAAACTGCCTAAAAATGTGGGAACAATTAATCATAAACAGCGAGAGGTTATTAACACACAACAATTTAAAAAATGATGGATAATTAGCGCTTAATTCCCTGTCGCATCTTTGGCTTCTCTTCCTATTTTAAACAGTCTCTACAATTTATCTGTACCTTCAACTGGTCTCTACATCATTTTAATATGTAGGAGCGCTCCTACCCGAAAGCTTTCGAGAACACAAAGTAGTCTACATCGCTTCTGGTATGTAGATTGACTGACCGGAGGGAGATTGGTGTACCTAACATGATTGCTTCATAAATTCACTAGGTTGTCGTGGAAGAGAAATTTGACGCCAAGGAACAGTTGTCGGGAATGAGAAGAGCGTGGGCCGGTGAGGTGTAACAAGTTTAAGTGTGGAAATTAGCAACAAAAGTGTCCCACTCTCTCTGCACGTTTTCAGCAATAAGTAAGGAATGGCAAAAATTCCGGTCAAAAACTTCCACCTCCGGTGCTTTCCACTTTTCCACACATTGGAATGCAGACAATCGCGACATTACAATCACATAGATGCCGTGGATTAGATCACATGCCTTCTCTTCAAAGTCTGTTGTTCACTTGCTCCCACTCGAGGGGTCCCTCCTCTTAAACGGTCATTAGTTTTGCTCGGGAGATTGAACAAACTACCAGTGAGACAGCCCAGTGGAAACTGGTAATGTAGTGCCTAAAATAAATGAAAATTTATGTTCTAATCACGAGTCAAGCCGAACGTACTCCACCAGTTGGTAGCTAATGTCATTCGACGCATTAGAATTTTGGCTTAGTGCCTCTTCACACCTTTGTGAATGGTTTGTAGGAAAGCAGTGAGCACGACAAGAGATTGCCTTTACAGAGGAGATGGAATGCCCTCGTTGAGTGGAATCTGAGCTTCTATTTTCATATTCACACTTGTTACCTCATTCTCCTGGGTAAGGAGAGGAGGAAAAGCAGCAAAAATGCAAAATAAATTGTTTCGATGCTAAATACACGTTAAATGGATGAGTTAGGACGCAGTATTAGTGGAACAGCCGTTTTATCGTTGGGTGGGTGGGTGGAGTTTTCATCAACACCTTCTCTCCATCACCCGTAATTTGTTGAGCAAATTGTGGATGGTAGAGTTGTAGTGAATGTTTGTTCATAGAGGATGGTGTGAAGTGGGATGCTCTCTCTGTACTCCACACTTCCAACCACGTGGACGAACTAGCTTACGTCATATCAGCAGCATAATGTGGCACGAACTCTAAGTGTAAAGCCGCAAATGTGTCTTGTAAATTGGGTAGCAAAGTAAACGGATCCACAAGGTGGATGTAGGTGAATGCCTACCTCACCTCAACCTACCATTTACAGACCTAATTTGCCGAAAGTGGACTTCTCCTTACTCTCCTACTTATGTTAATTGAGTAGCAATAACATTGCAAATCAATATGCAGTAGTTTATAGCCATTCCAACGGTGTTTAAACAATATTTAAAACATTTGATGCCCTACCACGCCATCTTAGTTCGGAATGGAAGTATTTGGCCCCTAAAGAGTCGCGGACATTCTACTCTTTGAGGGTTAGTTTTGTAGTAATAGTTGGTACCTATCGACATCCAGGTGACTAACAGTTATGCTACTT